TTTCACTCNTTTTTTGAGACGGAGTTTCACTCATGTTACCCAGGCTGGAGTGCAATGGCGCGATCTCGGCTCACCGCAACCTCCGCCTCCTGGGTTCAGGCAATTCTCCTGCCTCAGCCTCCTGAGCCACATGAATTTTAAGAAAAAAAAATTCATTTTGCTCACACCTAGATTAAAGAGAACTGATGATTAAGAAAAGAAATATAGCCAACACCATAATTAGTTCACCTTACAAATTCTGATGGAAAAATTAATGTTAAAGCAAAATTAAAGCAAAATTTCCATTCAATGAGAGCCAAGACCATTGCACCCACATGAGGTGTAGACAAGAGAAGAGTTGTGAATGGAAAGTCTATTAAACAAGTACAAAGAAGAGCGTGAAAAACATTTCTTCAAAGAGTTGAAACAAGAGTTGAAACATGAGTTTATCAGTATGGTCCTGAATACAAAGTATAATCAAAGCAATGGCTGACCAAAAGGTCGAAGTGGTCCAATCAAAATCAAAGCAGAGGAGTCAGGAGAAAACATCACGGCAAGCTTGTGAGATGGCCAAAGATTTTACTAGTTGAGTTTCTGGAAGGCCAAAGAATAACATATGCTTCTTAAGAGAATGTTTTGAGAAAGTTTACAAAGCTTTAGCAGAAAAAATGCCCAGGAAAATTTCATTCTCCACAACAATGCCTTCCCATTCCTCTCATCAAAAAAAAAACCCACAATTTTCTGAGAATTTTTATGGAAAATAATTGAGCATACCTACATTACAGACCAGATTAAGGTCCTCCTGAATTTCTGTTGCCTAATTTTAGAAAAATCTTTGAAAGGCACTCATAGTTTCAGTTAACTAGGTAAAAAAGACTGTGTTACAAGGCCATAGTCCCAGAACCATCAATTATTTAGGGATGTACTAAATGACTTGTATCACTATTTACAAAAGTCTGTTGAACTTGATGGATATCATACTGAACGGGCAAAAACTGGATGCATTCCCTTTGAAAACTGGCATGAGACAAGGATGCCCTTTCTCACCACTCCTATTCAACACCGTATTGGAAGTTCTGGCCAGGGCAATCAGGCAAGAGAAAGACAAGAGTATTCACACAGGAAAAGAGGAAGTCAAATTGTCTCTTTGCAGATGACATGATTGTATATTTAGAAATGCCTGTCTCTATAGCTTTTTTCTTTTAAGATTGCTTTACCTATTTGATGTCTCTTGTTCTATATACATTTTTAAATTGTTTTTCTATTTTTGTGAAAGATCTATTTAAAATATTGACAATATTGCATGGAACCTGGTGTTAAAGACAATTTTATAGTATTGATTCTTCTGATCTCCTTAAAGTTAGGATGTATTTTCTTTGTTTGTGTTTTCTTCCATTTCTTTCATCAATATTTTATAGTTTGAGTATAGAACTCTTTATCTGTTTTTAGTCTCAAGTATTTTATTATTTTTGATGCTATTGTAAATAGGATGGGTTTTTCAATTTCTTATTTCACTAGTTTGCTGTTAGTATACAAAAATGCAACTGACTGTCTCTATAGATTTGGTATCCTGCAACTTCCCTGAATTGGTTATTAGTTCTAGCAAGGTTTGGTGAAGTCATTGGGTTTTCTATGTGTATATAATGAGATCATATCATCTGCAAACAGAGACAACTGTCTTCTTTTCCAATCTGCCTGCCTTTTATTTCATTTTTCTTGCCTGATAGCTCTAGCCAGGGTTTCCAGCACTATATTGGACAGAAGTAGTGAGGGTGAGCCTCCTTGTTTTTTTCAGATCATGAAGAAAAATATTTCAGCTTTTCATTATTGAGTATAATGTCAAGTGTGAGCTTGTGATATATAGCCTTTATTGTCTTGGGGTAATTTATTTTATGCCTCATTTGTTGAGACTTTTTATCATGAAAGGATGCTGATTTTTGTTAAATGCTTTCTTTGTATCTATAGAGATTAGTATACAATTTTTGTCATTGTTTTAATTTTGTATGGAACCATAATTAATTGCTGTGTGCATACTATCTTATACTATCTTTACATCCCAGATACACATCACCTTTCGTTATGGTGAATGATTCTTTTAATGTGTTGTGTTCAGTTTGCTCATATTTTGTAGGGCATTTTTGCTTCTATATTCATGAAGAATATTGACCTATATTTTTTTTTGTAGTGTCCATGTGTGACTTTGGCATCAGTGTTGTCCTCATATAATAAAATTGAGAGTTCACTCTTAACTATTTTGGCAGAATTTGAGAAGGATTGGTGTCTATTCTTTAAATGTTTGGGAGAATCTAATCATGAAGCAACTAGCTTTTCGGTTTTTTGGGTTTTTTGTTGTTGATGTTTTCGTTTTTCATGAGAGATGTTTTGTTACTTGCACATTTTTGTTACTCATTACTGTTCTGTATTAATTTTCTATTTCTTTATGTTTCAGTCTTGGTAGGTTGTATGTGTCTAGGAATGTATCTGTTTCCACAGTTATTCAACAATTATATGTAGGCATATAATGGTTCATAGTGGTCTCTTTTGATCTCTTGTATTTCTTTGCTGTAATTTAGTGTTTCCTCTTTCATTTCTAGTTTTATTAATTTGTTCCTTCTCACCTTTTTAGTTCAGCTAATGGTTTGTCAATATTGTTTAAATTGTCAAAAATCAACTTCTGGTTTGTGAATCCTCACTATTCTTTTTCCAGTCTATTTATTTCTGTTCTGTACCTTACTACTTTATTTTCTTTCCACTGGCTTTCAGTCAATTTTTTTTCTTCATTTACTAGTTTCTGGAGATATAATGTTACTTGCTTCATTGGGACCTTCATGAAGTCATTTATATCTCTAAACATCCCTTTAAAACTGTTCTTGCTGCATACCATGTGTTTGCACTATGTTGCTTTTCCATTTTGGTTTTTCTCAAGGTATTTTAAATTTTTCCTTTGAATTTCTTCATTGACCCATTAGATTTTCAGGATCATGCTTAATTTTCATGTATTTGTGCATTTCCTAATATTTCTTCTGCTGCTGATTTCTAGTTTCATACTATGATGCTTAAAAAAAAATACTTGATGTAATTTCAATATTCTTAAATTTTTAGGCTTGTTTTATGGCTTAACATATGATCTGTATTGGAGAATGTACCCTGTGGGCTTGAGAAGAATGTTTGTTCTACTGTTGTCAAATGGAATGTTATAAAAGTGTCTGCTAGATCCATTTGGTCTAACATATAGTTCAAGTCCAATGTTTTTATTGATTTCTGTATAAGTTGTCTATCCATTCTTGAATGTGGGGTATTTAAGTCCCCTACTATTATTGTATTGTTGTATATTTCTTCCTTTAGATGTATTAGTGTTTGCTTTATAAGTTCTATTGCCCTCATGTTGAGTGCATATATATTTATAATAGTAATAATCTCTTGGTGAATTGACTCCTTTATTACTATATAATGACCTTTCTTTGTTTCTTTTTACAGATTTGACTTATAATTCTTTTTTATTTTAATGTTAATATGGCCACCCTGCTTTCTTTTGGTTTCCATTTACATGGAAAATAATTTGTTTATCCCTATGCTGTGCTATGATATGAATAGTAGTGTACCTCCAAAATTCATATGTTACATCCTAATCACTATGGTGATAGTATCAGAAAGCGAGGCCTTTTTAGGTGATGAGGTCAAGAGGATTACACCCTCATGGATTGGATTAGCATTTTCACAAAGAAGCCTCATGGAACTCCTGTGTCCCTTCCAGACTATAAGCACATAGTGAGAAGGCACCATCTACATAACAGGGAGCAAGATCTTATGAGACATCAAATCAGCTGGCATCTTAATCTTGGAAATTTCAGCCTCCAAAACTGTATGAAATAATTTCTAGTTTTTATAAACTAGCAAGTTTGTGGTAATTTGTTATAGTGGCCCAAATGTACTAAAACAATTTAGGAATAAATGTATATTCCTAAGTGTTTACATTACTACAAATATAACTTGGTAATTATAACAAATGTCCTTTAAATTTGTGAAATCTGGCTTTCCTCAACTCAGCCAATTTATCTAAATCAGGATCACTAAGAAGGGGACAGTCTGAGTATATAAGCCTCCTGATTTTATATAATAAGTAGTAAGATATCATTAAATAATATTTTTGTCATATTAGTGATATCTTTATTTACACATAATAGCTTCATCTCCTTTAGGAGTTTAAAATGTCCCTAGTCAAAAATGATTTTAACTAAATAATGCTGGTTAAAATGAATGACTATCAATATTACACTTCAGAACTTTATTAATGAAATTTCCAAAACTCATTTCTACTCTGAAAATAGTTGAGACATCTTTATCATTCCCAACATGTACCACCTTTTTTGTTAGGCATCATTATTGTTAAATAAATTGTACTTGAGGTTCAAAAGTGATATATGTTAAAGGTAGAAAAGTCAGAGAATATTGATATATACAAAGAAATTAAACCACAACTTTATCCCTTTTATTTCTGAACACATATATAGATTATTATCTATATTTTTAAATTTCCTGGCAAAATTTTTTCTAGAAACATTAATTCAGGACAAAAGTATCATGTTTATGCTTTTGCAGGTGAGTACATGCGTCTTTATAACTGATACTGTATTTTTATTTTTGTATGTCTATATTGTAATAGTTATATACCCAATTACATTTTAAATCCTCTTTATAATTAGTTTGTGTTATTATGTGTGCTAGATTGATATCTTGTAGAAGTAATTCCGTTTCATCAATTTGATGCATTTATGTCTTAATAAGTGGTAATATCTTATTATTAACATGAGTTAAGACTTGGTGAGGTTTCTACATCTTTGTGAAGTGATATAATTTTGAAATCAGACACAACAGTATGTTTTCAATTTACTGTAAAACAACAGGCTCAGAAGTTATGGAGAAAGCTTTGAGAGATTTAAGAGTGATGGACAGAAATAAAGCCTGAAAAAAATGGATCTAATTTCTTGTCATACAAATTTCATGAACTGGATACAAGAGTTTATTTGCCAAGTTTTAATATGGAGCTTTTAAGAAGAGGGCCATGGGTCTCAGATTATAATTACATTTTCACAAATCAACCCAAAATTTTACTTATGAATAAAAAGGAATAAAACAATACTTAAAAATGAAATTGAGAACTGATTTAACAATAAAGTTCTAAATAAAGGTGTGGATTTTAATTCTGATTTTTTTTTACACAACTGGGATACTCCAGTTTCCCATCCTGACATGTTCTTCGAAATCTTTGAGAATTTGGTGAAGGATGATATCCATATTTACACATAAATTGAGTTGGTTCACCTGATTTTACATAAAGTTTTGGTTCGGCTGTCCACTTAAATGTTAAGTTATATTTTTCCATAATTTCTTGTGATATTACACACGGATCTGAAAATAAAAAACAATGAACATAAAGCATTAACTAGTATACAAATCTTCTTCATAGACTTCCAGATTTTCAAATAGAATGTTATATGATGGTTCAGGAATTATTTCTCAAAACAGTATCTAAACCAACTATGTAAAAACAACATATTGATTTAAATAAAGTTAAAATGGTAAATGACATGAAAACGAGGCACTATGTTTTATGTATGAGAATTAGGGTTTTTTATCAATGTTTCATTATGTCAATTGTCATTTTAGGATTCCTGCATTTTAGAACTTATCATTGCTAAATTTCTTTAATTAAGATATTGGTCAGAGAGTACAAATTTTCAGCTATAATATGAAATAAGAACTTGGAATCAAACACAGAGATGTAGTGATATTTCTAGCTAATAGTATTGTATTATTTATTTGAAAATTGGTAAGAAAGCAGGTCTTAAGTGTCCTCATCACAAACACAGACACACAGACTCACACAGCCACCTACACACAATGGTAATCATAGGTGATGAAAAATGTGCTAATTAATTTGATTGTGGTAATCATTGTACTGCAAATATATCAAAACATATTATCAAATATGAAATTGTTATTTTTATTTGTCAACTAAATGTTTTAAAATAATATAAATATAAAGAGAAAAGTTTCTAAACTTTACTTTCTAACATAGATATTTGGTAGGCAAGCATTCAGCAGAATGGTTGTTCAATAATCTGTGATTATTTTGTTACAAACAGCAAAATAGCAGACCCATCACACTGATTTTTCCAGTATCCATAAGAATATTAAAGGACTGACATAAGCATTTTGGTGCTTCTGACCATCGTCCATTTCTACATGTTATTCGCTTGTTACCCTCAAGTTCATACAAGTTCTGGCATTGATACTCCACTAATGAATCTGGAGCATATACTGACTTTGGGAATGAAGTAGTGTCTCCATTGACAATAGGTGGAGGGGGCCCACTTTTTCCTGTAGAATCTTAAAAAACATCATTTTATCACTTGATTTATTGTGAGAGCAAAGCAAAATACAAGTTCAAATAAGGCAAATATAAACACACAGATTACCATAACATGCAAGATGTTACCTTACATGAAAAACAGGCTGTGCAGAAATCATTAGGAGTCTAGTTGCCCTGAAACTTTACTAACTCTCCATGGTGCTGAGCTACTATTCAATCTGGCACATGCAGTGCTCTGCTGAGTTCTTCCACTTTGGAGATCCTGACTTCCTCCTTCTACTCTGAGAACCTCAATATGTTGTCTTATGCTTTTGGAATAAGCAGCAGACAAAGAGGGAAAGGTAGCAATATTTTGAGAGCTTGAACAATAAACTGTGTTCTTTGTCAGATTAAATAAAATGTGCTAAGAAGTTTTACAACAAGTTTATTTTGGTAACTTAGTTTCTAAATCTCGTTACCCACTGAATGGAAGCAGAACTTACTGGAAGTATGGAATTTGTAACATTTGTTCCTTTTTTTCTGTTTTCAAATGTTAATAATGTTTAAAACCCTAGTAATTAAAGAGACCATAACTTAATTGTTAACTGAAAAACCATCACATTTCCAGCTGTTTTAAGAAGACTCCATGTTCTAGAAATTTAAATTTAGTTTTGTTTTATGAGTGAAGACAGGGCCTCGTTCTTTCCCCAGGTTGGAGTGCACTGGTGCAGTCATAGCTCACTGAAGCCTTGAACACCTGGACTCATGGTGAAATTCTGTTTCTACTAAAAACACAAAAATTAGCTGGCGTGGTGGTGTACATATGTAATCTCAGCTACTCTGGAGGTTGAGGCAGGAGAATCACTTGAACATGGAAGGCGGATTTGAGATGGCGCCACTGCACTCAAGCCTGGGTGACAGAGTGAGACTCTGTCTCAGAATAAAAAGAAACAGTAAGCTGAAATCAAATATAAAACTTTTCAGGGCCAGGTGCAGTGGCTCACACCTGTAATCCAAACACTTTCAGAGGCCGATATGGGCGATCACGAGGTCAGGAGTTCGACACCAGCCTGGCCAAAGTGGTGAAACCTCATCTCTACTGAAAATACAAAAATTAGCTTGGTGTGGTGGCGGGCACCTGTAATCCCAGCTCGTACGGAGCTAGGCTGGAGAATCGTGTGAACCCAGGAGACGGAGTTTGCAGTGAGCAGAGGTCGCACCATTGCACTCTTGCCTGACTGACAGCGAAAGAATCCGTCTCAAAAAAAAGAAAAAAAAATGAGGATATGAAATATATTTTTGGTTCTTCTATACGTATATTAGAAGAAGAAATTTCATGTTGCTTTATGGTTTTTATAATAAAATATTTTATGTTTATAAACTCTTTCAGGGACAAAACATCTTCATGTATCTATTTCTCTCTTAACTCTCATAAATGTTTCTTAGGAGAAAGATCATTACTATCTCCTTTGTAGCCTCATCTATCTGTCTCCCAAATGTTTTCTCTTTTAGTACACACGTTGTCATTGGAATCTGCTCTCTACATTTTTGGATGATTAATATAGCTACACTTCGAAGGGCCAAAGAAACGATTTATTAAAGATATAAAAGTGAAAATACTAAACCTTACCTTGCGATATACAAGAGAGTGGTACATTCAAAACAGAATATGTAAAAAAAAGTGACTTTTTTTTTACAGGAAAACTATGGTCAGGCTGCTACCAAATGAATATTAGTAAAGAAATATTAGCAGTCAAATATATTGATCATCAGTTTTTTAAAAATTAATACATTTCAACACATAGAGCATTTCGAGGTAATGCAAGACAGTTGACATACATGTTCCCCATTTGATTCTCATAAGAGGCCTCTCAAAATAGGAGAACTACGTCTCCCATCTTTCTAGCTCCTCTGGTCACTGCCCCTGTCATTATCTTGACCTTATGATCTTGTCTGGCACATCCTTCTCTACTCACTGAAAGAAATCCATGTAATGATCAAGGCATTTACTCACTGAGACGCTTTGGTGTTGGTGACCATCCTTCTGTGCATGTTATGTGAGTCCAGAAGGATTTTGAAGGAGACATAAAATTATATTCACAGGAGTAATAGAAAACTTCCCCTATAGGAACTTGGGAAAATGGCTTATAATTTTCTTCATCATACAGAATTCCATGGTTTATTTTTGGAAAATCACAAAGTGTTGCTGGGGAAAATAACACAAACTGAAGAATTACATAATTAGCTACATCAATGAATCACTAGGTTATACTTTAATCATCTCATTTATAGTTTTTTTCTTTCATTCAGCTTAAATATCTTTAGCGTAAATGCTTTCCAGTGTATAAATTAGGAATTAAGAAACATCACTAATTAAGAGTATAAGACTATTTGAGGAGGTCATTGTTAATGAATATAAAATTTATATTTTGGAGTGACATGAAATATGAACTCTTCTGCAATGTCTTCAAGAAGAAAGCTTCACACAACAATTTAAAAATGAAAGCAGGTCTAAGAGTGGCAAATCTTCCTTATCTATGTAGCATACAGTAGAGGAGTCATACGGTTGTTCTTAGCTCTCAACTTACTTGTTTTCTTACTGACGATCATGGGTATCTCCACCAGAAGACTGTGCCCATTTTTTTTTCTGGTGCATTAAAGGTGTTGGGTCGGTAGTTTTGTTTTTTTGTTTATTAATATCATTTTAAATATTTTCTGGTCACAAAATTAATATACTTTCAGTGAAAATAATTATGTAACTGTATATTTGTATATATTTGTATATTTATATTTATATATACATATATATATACAGTCAGCCCCACTGGTTTCACATCCTCTGATTCAACCAACAGCAGATCAAAAATATTTGAAAAAAAAAGTAACAATAAAACAAAAAATGCAATTAAAAATACAATATAACAACTATTTGTATGGCATTTACATTGTATTAAGTATTATAAATAATCTAGAGATTATTTGAATTATATAGTAGGGCGGGGTGTGGTGTCTCATTCCTGAAATCCCAGTAATTGGCAAGGCTCGAGTGGGTGGAACACTTGAGGTCAAGCGTTCCTGACCAGGCTCGCCATATGATGAAACCCCATATTTTGTAAAAATACAATGATTAACCGGGTGTGGTGGTATGTGCCTGTAACCGCAGCTACTCAGGAGGCTGAGGCAGGAGAGTGGCTTGAACCCAGAAAGCGGAAGCTGTGAGCCAAGATCACACCACTAACCTCCAGCTTGGGCAAGACTCTGCCTCAAAATTAATTAAGTAATTAAGTAATTAATTGAAATAAGTTATACGGGAGGATATGCACAGGTTATATACAAATACTACATCATTGTCTCTTAGAGGCTTGAGCATCCGTGTATTTTGGTATCTGCTAGGGGTGAGGAGAATCCTGGAACCAATTCCTTGAGGTTACTAAAGGACTCCTGTATATATGTACATAGACACTTACACAGACATTCATATGCACTATAGTGCAAGGTATATTAAAACAATGTAGAAAATGCATGAAATCTTCATACTTTTTGACTCTTTTTTGTGTATGTATACACAGATAATTTTATTAGACTTATTTTCTATTTACAGGTTTTTCACAGCAAAATTGAGTGGAAGGTAAAGAGATAGTCTACATACCACTTCCTCTTTTCTACCACACACATAACCTCCCTCACCATCAATACAGTTATCACCCAAAGTCCATAGTTTCTGTTAGGGTTCACTCTTGATATTGAGCATTCTGTGCGTTTGATATACTTTATCTTTGAGTATGTATTTAGCTCAAGATATTTTCTCAATAAATATAATACTGTCCTTTGTTTTTACCTCAAGATATTTTTGCAATAGAGTTCTGCTGCATAAGAAATAGTTTTATTTTTCACCTTATTTGGAAAATGTGTGCAGAAATTCAGCTAACAAATCAGGGGAAATTTCTCTTTTTCATCTATCTACAAGTAATGTTTAGTGATGCACAATATTTGAAATATTTTCACTTTGTAAAACCTGAAATTGATTATCTACCTCTCTAAAATTTGACATTAGACA